GACGGGTGGACTTAGTCCACCCGCCTTAAAGTTGCCAAGGTTGAGGAACCCTGCTCTAATGGGCAACCTGCAGGCCACAGGTGACCCCCAGCCCACTGCATTTGTGGCTACTAGGACCTTCCAGAGGGGTAAGGCTAACATTCTCAAACTTCCACATGGGAAGAAATGTTAATGTGAAGAAACAAACATTATAATCCTGCAATGCTTAAGCCACGTGTTGCACCTAATCTGCCCCAATCTGGCTGTTTTTTTCAATGTTGTGGGAGGGACAAAGGCACCCTGGATGCTTTAGGCTTCTGAAGTTTGTCCCTTAAAACCTCACAAACCATCCAAAACAGAGTCAACGTTTTCAGTCCCACTTGCTCTGATGATGCCTTGATGTCACAGGCTGTGTGCCCAGTGGTCCCCCAGGCAAAGCACAAAGGCACATTACAGGCCCCATAACCCCCCCACAACTTGCCCACCTTGCTCTAAGTAAAGAAGGGCAGCTTACAGATTGTGGACTAGGTACAACCTTTTCCAAACTCTAGAGTAGGTCTCAGAGCAGGATGTCTAGACTACTAAACATCACGCTGCTCCTTCAACTCGAACCGGAGGCCTTCTTGCCTGTGCAAATTCTTCAAGACTGAAGCACAATAAAAGCACAGTCACAGATGCAAAGAGTTCATCCCAACTACTCAACTTACCCTCAAGGGTGGGACAAGGTGCGAGAGACTGTCCCGAAGATAGGCATAGTGCCGAAAGGTGTGGTCGGAGAACAGTGCTGGCATAGTCGGGCACGATTTGGCCGCGTTGAAAATCAGAACCAAGACTGCAATATCTGTGTCACAGCTTAAGGAGGGAAAAAACTTCAGATCTTTGATTGCAAAGCAGTTAAACAGAAGTCTATAAGTGCAGGAAAAAAAAGTTGGGTTGGCAACTGCAGAAATGAAGCTCATGAACAGAAAGCAATTATTTGTGTTTACTGAAGAGTGTATTAACATCAGCACCAAGGAATTACCTACAAGGTATTTCACTGTCAAAGGTCTTCCTATAAAATCCTTCTCTTTCTGTCTTTTCACAGCTACTGAGGGTACAACTAACATTTAGATGTAAAGGCTGAACAATGGCTTACTGTAAAGTGTTAAATCACAGCTAATGTGATATTTTCTCTTGTTTATAGAGGGACAACTGTATTTTATTTATTTATATTTCACATCTGTCATTGCCCATCTTCCTAGAAGCGACTCTGGGCAATTTACAGTAAAGGAATATTAATTAAAATACAATAAAGCAATAGAGCTACAAATAATAAATATCTTCCAAGGTCGATGGTAAAATTATGAGGCTCAGGGAGCATCCTCACGGCACCCCCAGGGTCTATTACGTCTCTTCTCGCCCCACAGGAGACGGCAGAGCCAGGTCTTCAGTTCTTTCCAGAAAGCCAGGAGGGTGGGGGCCCGCCTCCCCTCTCGGGGGAGAATATTCCATGCTGGCTGAGGAATTCTGGGAGTTGAAGTCCACACACCTTAAAGTTGCCAAGGCTGAGAAACACTGCTCTAGAGCATTATCCACGGAATAAGTAGAGGAGACAAAAGGATACAAGCTGGGTCATCCATGTCTGGCTCGGGGGTGTCAAAGAAAGGGTGGGTGCCCAACAATTCAGGAACAAGTGGGAGCACTAGAGTGGGGTGCCTGCCTCCCAGGAACTTTAAACATCTGAAAAACACCGATTCAAAGCAGAGAAGGTTCTCTTTTACTGTAACCAAACAGCAAATTTTGAATGTGAGTAAATGACTGCAGTTTAAAGGCAAACTTGTAGTCTGTTCTTTTTTAAGTGAAAGTTAGATATTTTAAAATGCATTTGGTTTTTAATAACTGTGTGCTAGCTCTTTTCCCCAATCTGGTACTCTCCAGAAGGATCACAACAGACAACAGCTGTCTGGCTGTGGATGGGGGTGGTAATCAAAACATTTGGATGGCATGAAGATCAGGGGAGGCCACCGTATACAATATTGCACCAGGGGATGCCTAGCTCAAAGAGGGAATATTAATCTTTTTATGAATAAATGAATGAAAATGAGGCTGTGCAAAATTTACAAGATGCTACAAACAACTTCTTTAGTGCTACAGGTAGTCCTCAGTTAACGGCGGCAATTGGAACTGGAATTTCCGTTGCTAAGTGATGCAGTTATAAAGCACGACATCATGTGACCACATTGCTACCAACAGCAATCCTAGCAGTCCAAGTTGCTATCGTAACCCCAGGACCACACAGGGCATGAAGCAAGAAGAGGCAAGAGACCCAGGCAAGGAGTGTGGGGGGATGTGGAATGTGGGTGGGTCGGCGGGGCTGTGGGCAGGCGCTACAGAGCGTAGGCAGACTGGCAGGGGCTGCAGATGGGCCGGGGGTGCTGTGGGTGGGCTACAAAGTGTGTGCAGACAGGCAGGGGGGGTACTACTGGGATCTTATACACCATAGTAGGGCTCCTCATGAGAAAAAGTGGGGGGAGCAACTTATGGGAGCAACTTGTGACCTTCCCTGCCAGCTTCCCCATTGACTTTGCTTGTGGGAAGCTGGCAGAGAAAGTTGCAAATCCTGATCACGTGACCATGGAATGCTGGAACAGTCGGAAATCTGGTCCGGTTGCCGAGTGCCTGGATCACGTTTGCGTGACTAGAGGGACATTGCAACAGCCAGAACTCTGAGGAATGGTTGTAAGTACCACTTGTTCAGCGCCGTCGTAATTTTGAACAGTTACTGAATGAGTGGTCATAACTCAAGGACTACTAGTACAGTAAACCATTTTGTACAGAACTGTCAATCAAAGAAGACATTTTTCCAATCCAGGTATCAACATTATTGCATTATTCAAGTCTAGAATTACAACTCTTCTTTTGTGATCTTAGGAATGAAGAGCTAGGACAGAAGCAAGCTGACAGACTGTGTATTTTTAAAATTATACTTAAACGATGTCAAAGCCAAGCATTCATTTGGCTGGCATTCTAGTCTAGCTGTAGGCATCTAAAAAAAAAGGCCGCAGAACTTAAAACACTGCTGTTAGAAAAAATAAGAACTCTTACTTATCCCCAATTTATGTAGCCTAGAGAAGATAAAGCCGTTCTCTGACATCCCATACTAGCCTACAGGGATTAAGCCTGGAATTTCCTGATAGTCTCGCATCTACCTATCATCCCATTCCAATCTTCTCTACTTTGGGCTTTGATCTTATATTTGCAAATAATTAATAAGTAAAATAAGTGATTGAAAATAAATAAATAATGCACAGTTCCAAAGGGAATTCCCCTATAGTTGGAACAGCATTCCAACCCTCTTTCAAACTCAAAACATTCCAAAATCAAAATATTTTTCATTATTTGAGGAGTTTTCCAAACTACAATTTCCCCCATAAGTGCAGTGGCAAATGAAAATGTCCTTCAATACTTTGCTATGGGTTGGGAGCCCTAAGTGCTCCAGAACTCCCGTTAGGATTATAAAATTTAACCTTAAAAAAAAGGCTATAGCAATTATTTATGAACAGTTAGAATACACTAAATTAGATGTTCCAAAATAAAGAGAAAATAGAACAAAGGATCAGAGATTAAACTGGATAAATGCCCCTAGAAGACCATTCTGGCATCTACAGTATATTCCCATTGTTATAGATTTAAAATTACAGTTAATTGAACAACATCACAATTATTTAATCATTTGAAATCCATTTGATGTCATGTCTCCTGGACATCAGTGCATCTCTTCTGGAAGAAACTAATTCAGTCAATAATGGCTGGAGTTGTACTCCAAATGCAACATTTGTTCAAATTACGTGATTGTGTTGCTTCCTTTGCAACATAACGGTTCGTGCATTTATTTAATTAACGAATATTCATTCTGGCCTACAAACTCATTGAATTTGCAGGTGCTTACATTCTCTGGAATTATTTGTCATAGAAATTAACGGGAGGACAAGGCAAATAAATATTGAACACATTTAGGGTT